TGCTCTGTAGCATCTGCCACATAGAAGGGCATCGTGATTTATCTACAGCTCTGAATATATTACTTGTTAACCTTTACGAACACCTAGTGTGACTCATTCCATCTTATCACAGCAGACGTCAGTGGGAGTAAGCATCACTCAACAGGACAACCAGTTTGTACAGGATATAGGTGCGTGTACAAAATGTACCCAGATAAAAGAGTCAGTTAATTTTTAAACTGTTAAAAAGGAGTATGAATACAGCAGTGCAGTCTGCCCTGGGATATGAGCCATGTGCATTGCTAGTCATAACAATGGGATCAAGAGCCTGACAATAGCCTAAATAGTGAACAAGAGAAATTAATTGAAATTTGCACCTCTGTGTATCTCTAATAAAAAAAAATCTAAAAAAAAAGAAAAAACAAAGATAGCTTTATCTCCTTACGAGTCTTTCCCTTTTCCCAGGGAAATCCAATGTTGTTAAACCAGACACTGCAGAACTCCTGAGCAGTACCTTGTTTGCTGTATTTCTCTGGCTAATGCTGTATTTCTCTGGCTAGTGCTAAGTTCTATAGACTTGGGAAGCACTACACTTAAACAATTTAACTTTCAATGATTTTTCCATGCTGCAATTTCTAAACTTTTTGTGTTCATAGAGTCAAAATTTTCTAAGATGTGTACTTAACTGCATGTACTGTCCTTTGGATTGATTTATATTGTTAGATTCACACAGGTCTTCCCACAACCAGTAGTGCTCTCACAAAACCAATTTTCTGGCAATTTATACTAAAATGGGCAAAATAACAAATAAAAGTATATAATCCACATAATCTGTTGAACCAATTTAAACACATGCAAACTATCAAAGGTAGGAAGACTGTTGTCTCTCTCAAGTCAAATTTTTTCTGTGAGGACAATTGTCTTCAAATTTCACTTCCAAAAAGAGACTTTGTGAAGGTTTTCCAGTAGTTTTCTTTCTGAAATGCATGGAATTTTAAGAATGGTCCAAAGCAAGCTGATAAACATTATGACCAGATATGGTTATGGGATCATCATAGAATCTGAATTATTTGAGTTGGAAGGGACCTTGAAGATAATCTAGTTCCAACCCTCTGCCATGGGTAGGGACACCTTCCACTAGACCAGGTTGCTCAAAGCCCCATCCAAACTGGCCTTGAATACTTCCAGGGATGGGGCTTCCACAACTTCAACCTGTTTCAGTGCCTCATCATCCTAACAGAAAAAAATTTCTTTCTAACATCTAATCTTAGCCTGCTCTTTTTCAGATTGAGGCTTGGTGTCATCTGCATTTTTGCTGATGGTGTGCTTGATTCTTTCATCTTTATCTAATAATATTACTAAGTGTTCCAATATTAGTAAAAATATTAAATAACACCAGTTCCAAAATGGATTCCCTGAGAGACCCGGCATGTCACCAATGTCCACTGGGACTCTGAACCATGAACAGCTATTGTCTGGATGTATCTAGCCAATTCCTCATCCACTTAACAGTGTCTCCATCAAATCCTTCTGTCGCCAATTTAGAAGGAAGGATGTGGTGGGGACCCACATCAAAGGCTTTACAGAAATCCAGATAAATGACATCTGCAGCCCTTCCCTTGTACACCGATGCAGTCACTCCACCAGAAGGCCACTGGGTTGATCAGGCAGGACATGGTGAAGCCACAGTGGCCATCCCAAATCACCTCCATGTCCTCCATGTGCCTAAGCACAGCTTCTAGGAGGAGCTTCTTCATGATCTTCCCCAGGCACAAGTTTTTGGGGTTTTTTTAAACCTCAAAAATATAGATTTTGAACTGGACACATTAATTGCAAACATTAAATTTACAATTTACTCAGCACCCACCGTCTCAAAATAAGGTGTTTAAAGATATACAGAAAGGTATTTTTGTTGGAATTATGACAAATGCCATACGTTTGAGTAAGGTTGTTCCTATATCCTACAGTTTATCACCTTAGTAAATTTTAGTAAATTTGCCATTTGAAAGACTTCTTCCACAACCAACAATTACAGGAGATTATTAAGGGCTTAGACATCTACCTAGGTGGCTCAGTTAGGAGCCTAAGAAAGACAGTAAGTTACTAAGATTTTAGATTTCTAGACAAATTTAAGGTGCCTTAGAGACTCTTCAAACATGTTTTAGATACTTCAAACAGCAAAGTTAAACACCTCAGACAAGGCTGGGTGAATCTTTTCTTGGTTTATGAATGCTAGACCATACATATTTGACTATGCACAATTGTTCAGCTTTAAAAAAAAACTCTCACTGTTGCATTGTTGATATTGAGAATTTTCTATGTATGAGAAATTTATGATATCTCAATGTTTTATCTTGCTATCTTGTTGTAGCTAGTTTGTTTGTGAAAAGAAAATTCTACTCCATCCATACAAGGGCAGCTCTGGGCATGGCATGTAAATCACTTACAGTATTGTCCTCATGAAGCAGAGGCTTTCAGATTAGAAGAGACCTTTGCAAACCATAGCTAACATGGCTTTTCAGCACTGAAAATTTTAGATAATGAAGTTGTCATAGATTGGATTACCTTGGTAATGATGTATCTGCTTCTGACATAGAATGTCAGGTTGCAGCATTTACTTAAACTTACTTTGTGCTTTGTACTTTGACATGGTATGACTCACATAGCTTCCCTTGATACGTCTTAAACTGACAACTTGCCATAGATATGCAAATGCTCCCTTTTTCTGAAAAGAGCAATTAATATACTCTTGATAAACCAAGAGTTCTAAAGAAAAATACTGATATTTTTCTACATTGACAGGATATAAATGGTAAGATACAGGATTTGCTACCACACTTTAGCATTTCTTTAAATGTACAGAAGTACTTCTGCAACAACAATTAAGTTATACTGTTCTGAAAACTTTATTTTTTATGACTGGAAACATGATGGTAAACACTGATGCTAATTGATCATACACTTTACAGGCATTTTTATAGATATAACAGATACAAATATAAAAGTAAATCTATAATAAGTTAAGCATATTGTATTTGCTTTCCAATAGCCATTTTTCTCTTTTTCTGTGGGTTTCTGTTGTACATACGATAATGCATAGGCTCAGTTGTTTTTTAGCCTTAGCAAGACCAAACCCATATTATGAAATGCCTTCTCTAACTTGTTAGCATCATTGATTGACTTATTTTATTTCTACGGTTGTCCAAAGTCCTAATGTTAAAAACTCTTTGAACTTAGTGTCATTCTTTGCAATTTTCTAAAGATTTAAGCTTCCTTTAGAGAATGTTCCAGATAAACAATATGAAAGCTGGAGGTAAACATTGTCAATCAAAGGGATTTGGAGGCAGAAAACATTTCCACTGGAAATCATTTTGCATAATTTAAGCTGTAGTTTAAAACATGTTTGTGGTTTATACCTAGCAGGGTGAAGCTCATAATCCTATTTAAGTTTATAAATTATCCATGTTTGTGTTTATTACTATGGATATAGGAAACCAACTTCTATATGTTGTTAGGCCTAACTTTTACCTGGCTGATCCACCTTGGAATCATAAGAATGGGATCAAAAATATATGTCTCCCTACCAAAGAAAGTCTCTTAAGACTCACTTGCTCACATTTTCACTCAAAAGTGAAAATGAGTAAATGCTGCCTGAGGTAGCTAAGGGCACCTTAAGCATTCAGGTGTCATTGGCAGACAGGACACCTGTGTCAAATCTCTGACCTTCTGGAGTAGCAGCTGGGGACCAGGTGGTCCCTCCTAGGGAAGGTGGGCTGCCTGAGGCTGGCAGGGTCACAGCCTGGTGAGCCAGTACATGTCTATGTATGAGTTCCGTCCTTAAATCAGGGTACACATGCAACTGTCAGTGACTATCCAGGAAGAAAATAAGAGATGTCAAATTTAAGGAAAGTATTTTAAAATCCGCTTTGCCCATAAGCTCTGTCAAGCACAGCACAAAGGCAGTATCCAGGCACATGTATGCTTGTGTTTACTTGGTCTTGACTCTTTGATTTTGTCTTGCATTTTCTTCTTCTATTTCTGCATTTCTTTTACTATTCAAAGAGAGCATGAATCTGTATAAGAATGTTTGTGAGTTTAATTTCACTGACTGAGGGAAGATGGGAGAGGTGGGGCAGGTGACCGAGATGGTCCAATAGGTGTTTGAGATTCATCCTCAGCGCTCTTAAGGACCCACATCTCTGTAGTTTATACTACAGCTACTTTTATATCACAGAAATCCCAGTACTCCCAGGTCAGCTCTGCATGGCCAAAGAGTCATGGTATGAATTAATATTTAAATTTTGTTACTATATTGCTGTTGACTTATTTTCTTCAGTACAACTACTGAAGAAGAAATCCAGTGTTACTTGAAAAGTGCTTCAAGTGCCTATGTCCTCTGACACTCTCATTCCACCAACATTATCACTGCTGATAGTTTACACCTGAGATACTTTCTTCTTCCTCATACAACCTCCTATTATGTGTAAATTGAAGAATCTTTAATTCATCCTCATAATAGGTGTGTCACATATTCATCACACAGCACTGTTATCAATGGGCAAAGTATACTTAACTGGGCAAATCTCTTAAACCATCTGTCTCATATACACTGATAAAATTTGGTCTACTAGTACAGTAGTATTATAATTTTTGTTAATAGAAAAATTTATGCATGAATATGTATTTTTATATTATGATCTGCTTGCTAAAACCTTTATTCAGAAGTTGGTAGACAAACAATTCTCTCACTGAAAAGCAGCAAATATATAGTATATTTCATGACCAAAGTACCCTTTCCTAACTACTGCCTTTCTTAATAACCTCCATTTATTCCAACTGAATATGAAGCTATGTCAATATGCCACAAGAAATGCAAATACATCTTGTCAGAGAGCAAACACAAAGAACAGACTGTAGACTACTGGTTAAATCATACCAGTTTTGGATAGGAAGGAAAATGCTACTGGGTATTTGAAGGTCATTTTCTATTGTTGGATAATTCTGTACTCCACAAAATACTTTAGGACTAAGAAAGAAGCAGTGGTGTTGAACCTTAGCTGAGTGAGAGTTCCTATGTCTTGTGCTCTCACTTACTTAAAGGCAAATTTTGCTGTGTACTGAAAATACCTCTCAGATTTATGTTGTCAATTAAGTAATCTAATGTCTAAGTGAGAGAGGAGAGATGTCTCAACGGAGTTACAGAAAGCATGGAGTCACGCTGTCAGTGAAAAGTGCTCTTGCAAAGGTAAATGTATGCAAGTCCACTGTAGCTCAGTTGTGCATGATAGGTGGTCTGCTCTCTTTCCATGTGGTGTTTCTATAAAATACAGGCATTACTGTCTGAGTTGTTCAGTGGAAGAAAACCACTTGGGGTGTTTTATGGATGATTTGTGTTACATTTTCAGTGTGGGTTTTGTTTTGGTGGATTTTTCTTGTGAAATATGGCAATATGATTTTGTGGCAATTGAATAGGAGGCTGAAATTTGTTTTCTGTAACTAAGTAAGGTAAAGAGAAGAGTGCTTACAAAATCCATTACCTTGAAAAAGGATTAGATCTCTGGGTTTAGGCAATATGAGATCTTTAAAGTAAGACAGAAAAGTGTGACTGAATATTTATAGTGGACATTATCAGTATCTTAATTTTCTTTTCTCTTCTAAAGAATAAGCCTCAATAGAAAAACCTTTGCTCCATAGATCAGTTTAAGTTTAGTGAGTCAGAGTTACAATTTTAACTCTCATTGTATTACTTTTCACTGTGACTATGTTTATAAATCTCTGTTTCTTGGCAGGACTAGATATATTTATATGTTAATTCGCATATATTCCAAATTGTATGGAATCCAATATGTTATGAAAAAGTAAAATTTTTGAATTTTCTTCACTTGAATATTTATTAATGACAGAAATAGTGACTCAAAATTAAGATACTTTGTTTATAAAAAGTCTATTTTGCTTTATGTCAAACTTTCCAGATAAAATCTTTCTTTATGCAAATTTGAAGCAGCAAATTTGAGAATAATCCCACTTTTGCTTAGGTTAATACAATTTCGTATTAAATACCGATAGATCATGCTAGTATGAAACATTCTTTGAAAATTAAATCATTATTCTCATTGCACAGGCATCATTCTGAATTTACAGCTGTGTTACAGTGTTTACACATCACTGGAGAAGGATTGTATGTGTTACCAGAAGGATTGTGTGAAAAGCACTCCTTGAATGGAGGATGTGCAGGAGATGCTGAATTGTCTTGGTGGTCCCAGCACAGCCCCTGCTGTTAACTCTGCTTTGAGTTATGCTCCTCTCATGGTGGGGATCCTCTCCTTTTGCAGAGGAAGAAATGAGGGCAGTTAGCCTTTATTTTCATCTCTGCTCTAAGAGCCCCAGGAAGCTCAGAGATCAAAGCAGGTAGGAAGGGAAACAATCTCTGCCAGGTAAATGTCCAGCTCCCACTATTCTCTAACCTAGAATAAGTCAAAATTAAGGTTTACTTTGTTATTCCTTGAATTGGAATTCAGCTCCTTGTCAGGTAAAATTCAGACAACAGATATTCCTTAACCCTTTATCAAGGCAATTTATTAATTTGAAGTCTTTCAGAGGGTGCAATAGTTCAGAATTTTCATCAGAGAATGTTTGTATCATTAAGGGCTCCTAACTTGCTGTTTCCCAGATTTTGAAGAAAATAGCCAAGAGCAGCAAAGTAATGGACAGAGGTAAATATCCCACAGGTCCAAAAGCTGCCTTCAGAAAACAGAACCAAATAAACAAACAAATAAATAAAATGAGAGAAGTACAAAATACTCTTTAATAAGAGCAGAAGATCAAGATAGCCAATAAAGGAAAAATGGATTGAAGGTCTACCTGCATATGGAATTATTTTATAGAATTAATTTTTCAAACATGAAATGAGTGTTTGATCTTAATCTAGTGAATAGTGTTGCTTCTGCTGGCCTCAGTAAAATAATATCAGCTAACAGAAAAGCAGATAATCATAAAAGATGGACTCACTCTTAATTAAAGTGTCAGGACACTGAGGTATGTTGAGTTAATGTAATGATAATTTTGTAGTATGAGAAATTTCTTAAAAAATTGAATTTGAAAAGACCCTAGCTAGTGGATAGCTTTCTCTATACTGAAATCAATCATGATATCTCTATACTGGAAATTTTTAAAAATAAAAAAGAAAGAAAAAGGAAAACAGAGTTTTCCATGGTTAATATATAATAAAATACATATAATATATAAATATATATAATAGAAAACCCCTGATATGCTACATGTCCTCCTCTTTGTATAAAAAGATGAGGACTGAATATTCCAGTGCTTTTTGGTTTGGTTTATCAATTAAAAATTAAAACCGGATGCTCGCCACAATACATATATTAGAGGATAAATAAAAAAAAACATAAATAAAAATTTGAAAATTAAGTCACCAGAAACCAGGGAGTTTTAACAGCAGATATTTACCTTTAAAACAATGGAAGTGAAGCATCCAAAAACCTTTCATCTGCTAAGAATGAGACTAAAAAAAATTTTAAAAAACTTTGAAAATTATGTATTTCTCCAAAATATGCTCTAAGATATACATTAGATTAAATAAGTTCATATAAATATCTTTAAGCTTAATATATTCATATCCATGTAGCTTCTATTTTGAATGGAATAGCAGAATAATCACAACTCAACAAGGTGGCAAGCTGCACTTCCATTCTCTGGAAAATGATGTGCAATATTTATATTAAATAGTATATAAATAAATTATTTAGCAGTATTTTAATTTTAAATTATCATATTACTTGAGCTATGTGTTATCTAATATAAAGTTAATTTTAATACAGCTTTTAATACAGTTAATTTTAATACATTTAATAATAAATGTAGTAATTTGTACTTATTTGAAAGCATCTCTGAAAAAATAATTTTATTTTAAAAATCTCAATTTTAAAAATAAGAAACTCTAACTAAAGTTTCAAGTATGAGAAACTGTTCTTAGACTAGGAAAAATCCATAACATATTGAACATTCTAAAAAAAAATGCAAATGTACAACACTAATTATTTTTCAGATATAAGAAACTCTTAGGATGTATTAAAATAGAGTAAATATCAAAATAGACTGTTTGGTACAAAATTAAAGCTAAATTATTCCAAGAGGAAAAAAAAATAGACATCTCAATTATGAGCCATTCAAAAAAATTTATAAATATATTTTCTCCAAGTGCATTTACAGCTGAGCCCAAAATCTTAAGAGTTCTGCAAGAACAAAACCACTAAAACTTAAAGTTGCAGTAACTGTCAGAACGATTAGTGTTCTTTAACTTGACTGCACCATGCTTCACATTGAAGGAGCAATATAACCGTGTGGAGTTGTGGTGGGTTTTTTCCCCCCACTGGGGTTGAAAATAGAAGTAAATTTATGCTTGGGATCCCTCATGCTTTATTGAGGAAAGTAGCTTCCAAATAACAATCAATAAATTGATCGTGACTATCTCTAGTAGGACACAGAGGAGTCTATTTCTAAGCTGGTAAATAATAAACAGATATTGTCATTCTGATGAAGTTTGCAATGTCTTGCCTGTACCTGGAAAGCTTGCTAGACCCACTGAGTTTTTAACTTACTACTAATACAGAAATATAAAAAAAGCATTCCAACAGAGACTGGATAAGTGAACGCGAATGCAGGAGATCACAGAAGGACTCTTGTAAATACTAGATTCAATGAGAAGACAGAGATCTTCTTTAGCCTTTGAATAACTAAAGTCAAATAAAGCCTTTACCTGTGAACAGATGGAATGTCTGAAAATATTTCAGTGAAATTTCACTGACAGTTTGAAAACTACAAAAACTATTTACTGGGATATTTGGGCCACAGTAAAATTACAGTGGAATCCACCTTCATTCAGACTTGTGTGAGAATATATTCTTCCCCATAATTTATGTTAGAATAACTGGAAATAGAATTGTAGAATAAAAGGGATATAAGGGGTTAGCTTAATTAGGGTACAGCACAAACAGTAAAGACTCAATAGTCTTTCTTTTATGGAAGAGGGCATGATGATTTCATAGTCAAGGTTCCATCTGAATCTTCATTTATAGCTTGTTTTTCCTTCTTTATTTTGAATTCCCCCCTAAATCCTCAAAATGCTTCTGGGTACAAAACTTTGCTGGAGTTGATATTCTAAAATATTTGCAATCATTCCTTTAATTTATTTATTTATTTTACTTTAGGTTCCAAAGTACAAAATCTGCTACTTACGGATCTTTGTAAGAAAAGTTATATAGCCCCAATGAATGGGATTGAACACATTTTAGTCCACTATGGTTATGCACCATATACATGAATCAGAAGGCATATTGCTAACTAAACTCCCTTTATTGGCTATAGAAGACAACCCAAGGACATACACTGGCTTCCTAGAATTTGACAATATGAATAATAAAAGATTATCCAATGAGTTCTTCCACTATATATGAGATCATTTTTCTTCAGAAAGTAGAATAATTAGCTGAAATGAAAGGCAGACCAGATTAGACTATAATTTGAAGATAGTTTACCTGGAAGTGATCTAGAAGAAATACATCAGCAAATACTACAGCTTTATAAAGTATAAATATGTTTCAGTAACTTGAAAACTTACAAAAGTGTGTTGACATGGAAGAAGGGTAATGAGAAACTAAATGGTACATTAGGACCTCTTAAGGATCTGTAAATAAGGAGAAAACGAGGATTAGTATGAAAGAGGTGAGAGGGGAAGACTAAAAATTCTAAAGACATAAAAAGCAATGAAAGGGAAAAAATGCACAATACAATGGTAAAATAAATAGGGAGGACTAGGCAGATGGTGTTAAGGCAGAAAAAAATCTGTGTTTCAATGGACTGCAAACTTACTGTAAATTAATGCCATTATTTATGATTTGCACAAATAAATGAGGAATAATTCCTTTATAGATGAAAATGCTGCAGTGAATTACAAAAGTGCGTAATGACATTATTGCAGCTGTGATAATCTAAATTACATTCACGGGGCTAATAAAACATCTTACCTTTCCCTACAACTTCTGCTTTATTAAGCGGAATAATGCTTGTAAGACACAGAAGGTAATTATGATGCTTTGTTTGGCATGGATGACATCTGGCATACTGCCTCTAGGATTGGGCAGTGGACTTAAAAGAAAAAAGGACTAATAGGAGACACTTTAGAGGACAGGAATATAAATTATTAGGGATGTGAAATAAAGACATCAAGGGAAAGAAGAAACTGAGGCAGCAGTAACATTTGGTTTAAAATACTAAATGAAATGTAAAGGAAATGTCACGATGATGAAGTATACTTCATTATTACTAATGGTAAAACAATAAATAATAGACTTCTTTTAAAAAAAAGTTATTTTGTTTAGTATTAGCATGGATTTATTAAGTATCTAGATAACTGTCTAGGGAGGTTGTAAGGTATCAATGCTAAGAGACAACAAGAAGAAATGAGATAGTGGATCTTCAAGTCAAGTGGAGAAGTCATACATCATAGAAAATGACAGCATTTTCCTTGGAGCACGACTATTCATTAGGCATCCTGTAATCACAGAATAATTCCAAGAAGTAGCTGTGATTCCCATAGCACCACTCAGCTGACTTGGTATCTGCATCAAATATTCATAGTTTCTGGTATCTGGGCAGTTTTGGTGTGTTAAATGTGAATTTCAGGTGCTCAACCAGCTGCTTGCTCGCTCCACCTCCTCAAACAGGATAGGAGGAGAAAACAAGATGGAAGAAAGTTTTTTGGTCAACCTAAGAACAGAGAGAATACTTACCAGTTACTGTCATGGGAAAAGCCTTCTTGACTTGGGCAAATTCATTTTATTTATTGCCTGTTCAAATATATATCAATGATGATAAAAAATATGATCAGGCTAAAATCAAAACCTACTTCTTACTCCCCTCTTTCCAGGCTCATTTCTGGCTTGTCCCTCCATCACACAGCATTGAAGGGTTTGCACCGTGGGTTGTGGTGAGTTCATAATAGCTCCTATCCATCACTTCTTCCTCTTCTTGCTTTTCCACTGCTCCAGCACAAGGTCTCCACCCCTGCCACTGCCAGGATTTTGACACCTAAGCCCAGAACAGTAGAAAAGACAGTCCTGGATTGCCAGTTTTGTAGTGTCTTAAGAACAGGATAGCTACAGGTCATTGGTAATATGTGTCAACCTGCAATAATAAAGGCAAGATTGAATTGTCAGTCCCTTCTAGAGAGAAACAGGAGTTGATCGATTTCAGGTGTGAGATAGGAACTCCAAATTACAACTGTACAGGTACATCTCTGTAAGTTTCTGTGTCTCTAAAAATTTAATACACCACTACAATCTTCCTTTTTGTGGGTCTATTAATTACACCTGTTCTCATTGCTCATCTGTTCAGTTCTTCAGGGGCTCTTCAGCAAATATATGTCCTCCAGCAGAAAAACTTATCTCAATCAGATAAAATCAGATAATCAGAAAAAACCTATTTTAAACTATTAAGCTATTTTAGACAATCATAGATAATGAAAACAAAGGTAATTTTTGTGGAACAGGTATAGAAATTTAAGAAGATATTGCAGATATCTAGGGAAACAAATTTTGGATATTTCTCCTGGACAGTTCAATTCCTGATTGTGATATTCTCTGCCAGGCCTTCATGATAAACAGATGATTTTCTGAATTGTAGATGATTTAGTAGTTTCAATGGAATTATTATTGTTTATATTTTTCTTACTGTACATGTATATTCAAGTAAATATGAGGAAGTATATAATCCTTAGATATATGCTCATAAATTATTGATAACTCCACTTTTTGCTGACTTCTCATAAAATGATATGAAGATTAGTTTTTCCCTGTAATATATGTGTGTATACCAAGTAACAAATTCATATATGTATTCATATGTGTTATATATGTATGAAGTACTTAATTACTGGAAAGAACACTAAAATTTAAATTTAAAATCAAGCTTTCAGTTAGGCCCCTTTATTGCTTTTGGAAATAGACAGTCTTTAAAAAAGAAAATTTCTTGATTTGTTATTTAAAACATATAGATTATGACTATATGATGGTCTTACCTTTCCTTCCTCTTTATTCTTTCCTCTTTTCTGGCAAGCGCTCTTATTCAAACAATAACTGAATATCCTCTGCCTATTGTGCTTAGGGTACTCCACAAACACATACAGAGACTTTATGATGTGAAAATTTCAGCTATTTTAAACCCTATTCTCGTAAAACACTTTTTTATACAGGCACTATAGAGAAAAGTAGCACTTTTGATCACAGCACCCAGCTATTAATTCTTACACTCTATTACACTGCAGATGATTTAAGGTGAAGGGCTCAACTCTGCTGCAATGAGTCACTTAGCAGGTTAAGGAAACAAAACTCTAGAGTAAACATCTTCACGCTTCAGAAGGAACAAAAGCTTTTCTTTCTTTTTCTCTGTATCAGTGTATCAATTTCTCATTCTCAACGCTTACCTGAAAAAAGCACTTTACTTCATTAGTCAGTTTGGTTCCTATGGAGCCCTCCCTGTATTGTTATTACTTGATTTCATAAGTCCTTTACTGAAGAGGAATGAGCAGGGGAAGGAGTGAAAACAGTCTCTATATTTAGTATCACAATCTCTCAACACCATTCTAAACAACAGCAGATTTCAGTGACCATCATAATGGACATTTTAAAATCTGTATTTGCTCTATACTCTTGGTGTTCTCCCTTCTCAGATAGGTCTTTTGAGTGTGGTAGAATCAGAAGCATTGCAGTGGTGGTGAGCACATCTTGTACAACTGATCCAGCTTCTCAACACAGGTTTGAAAAACACAATATTTCTCATTGATATGACAGAGATAATGGGCTTGAAGCAGTCTCTGTTATAGAGTAGATGCTTACTTTCATTTATACTTTGCAATTTGCACCCTTCAATCTGCATTGCACCTATATGAACAATTTAAAATCTTAAAATTATTTTGGAAGATGAATCATGAGACTAAAAACCAGTTATTGATAGTCTTCCTGTAGTCTAGTACTCTTCCTACATATGGTCGTAGCGAGCAAAGAGTCAGTTGCACGTCAGATGGATGTGTCTAAATGGAAAATGTTTGCAAAACTCAACATTTTTTACTAAACCTCAGAACTTTCTGAGATTTTTTTTACTATCTACTTGTCTATATTACAAATATACATTTGTAATCTAAATTTTTAATGTTGCACATGAATGCAGAATTATGACCCTATTAGACAAAAATTCAAACAGTTCTCTCACGATCAAGGCAAATGGAATGAGATTAATACTACTGAAATAATACTTAGTAGTTTGATAAACCTTTTGACTATTTTTTGGTAAAGTAATAACTATTTCAAAATACTTTGTGATGCTTTCTTGGATAACAGTGTATTTGATATATACAGTATATTTACAAGTTATATTTTTCTTTTTTCTTTTAAAATCTTCTTAATAGTTCAGCTGCAATAGTTCAGCTGTAGCTGCTAAGCTACAGCTACACTTTGATTAGGCAAATAATTCCATTCACTTCACTAGCACGGTTCCTGAAGCACAGAACAATGTAATGAAACCACAAAATTTACAATGATTTATACTATATGCACTTAATATTTTGAGAATAATTTTCTATTACTTCCAGGTGATATTGCAAGCAGTAATATCAGAATAAAATACATGTCACTCAGGCTATCAAACCTGTCAGTCTTCCGTCTTCATACCCTTTTTGTTTTCTGGGCCCTTTTCACATTGATTTGGTAGCATAGCTCATATTCCATTTCATTATGGATTTAATTTAATAACAATACATTAGAAGTGAAAAATATTGTCTTTTGAAATTTGTATTCAGGAAATATTGTATTGTCATTGAGCATAAGGAATCAAATTTATGTAAATTTCAATCACTACTAATGAAAGTTTAGAATCAATTGATCAAGTGATGGATTATTCCTGGCTGGATGCCAGGTGCCCACCAAGACCACTCTATCACTCCCCATCTCAGCTGGATAGGGGAGAGAAAATATAACAAAAGGCTCATGGCCTGAAAAAAGGACAGGGAGAGATCACTCACCAGTTATCATCACAGGCAAAACAGTCTCGATTTGGGGAAGAAATTAATTAATATAATTTATTGCAAATTTGTCCCCACTTTCCTTGTAGGCCCCCTTTAAGTACTGAAAGGTCACCATAAGGTCTCCCCTCCTCACTCCTCCCCATTTTTGATAGAATTTTCCTCACCTCTTGACACAAAACTGTTAACACTCCTAACTCCTGTCGATATGTTCGGGAAATTTAGAACCTGTGACCTGATGAATCAACTTTGTGAGCACAAATGTGCATGTATCTGCCTAACAGACAGAATGGACGCTGAGGGAAAACAATAAAACTGGCATCTCATAAAGACATAATGTTTCTTTACTGGAAAATAACTTCTAAAATATTAGTTGAGTGCCAGGTTGGGCTGGTCTTTCTTCCTCTTTAAACTTAATATCTACTCTAATAATTCTTAAGCAGCAATGGGAAAAAATTAAGCTGTTATGAATTAATAAATATTACAAAATAAAAATATATTTATAATATATATAATTTATTTTGGTAGCACATCAGCAAATGAAAATGCATTGTTTCAGTTTGTACTCCTTTCTTTTATTATTTGTCATGAAGAAAAACAAACAAAACACAAGATATTCCAGCTCCTTTGTCTTTTTATGTTTATGTCCTTTTTGCTTGAAGGTTCCTTATAAATGTAAAGATGAAACCACTTCTGCAAGAATAATGTGATAAGTACATGATTTGTTTTTTATAAAATAAAAAAATCTGGAAGAACTGAATATTTGAAAGCTTTTTACAGAAGAAAAAGCAAAAACTTCAACTTATTTTAAGAAACGCTGAGTTAAATGTACTGTATAGCATATGTTCACTGGAATTTGGCTGCTTCGGAAGCCAGAATGCCTGTAATATAATATTTTTTGTTAAAAGGAAAAAAAAAATTGAGAGACGAAAATTACTATCTAGAAAATCTGAACAGAAGGAGTTTTGTTTGAGAGTTCATATTCTAACTGAACTGAAAAGGAAGAAAAAGGGAATGACCGTAAAGAGAACCATATGGGAGACAGTCACTAATCTACTGAGCAAAGAAATATAGTTCTCTCCCTTTTAAGTTTCATCCATGCATGAATTTGTCACTCTTTTTTAAGAATTATGTATTTTATTTGCTGGAGATTCAGTCCCCTTCAGAAACCAGTAAAAAATGTGCCATGCTGAAAGGCAATATTTTAGGTCTCTGAAAATCCCTTTGCTCTATTTTCCATAAAACTGTTTCTTCGACAGCCAGTCTCCTAAGCAACAGATTTAGGACCTGATTGGATTCCCATTACATGTCAATAAAATGTTGACACTTGAGAGTAGGACTAAGTCTACAATCCTGGGGTAATTATGATTAAGAGGTCTGATGAAAATAGCGTTCCGTTGAGTATTACAGTCATCAGTTTTTTTTAGTCTCCATTCCATAGCTAGCTCTTTCATTTTTCAAATTCCAGCCTTTAAGACATACTTAAGTGTATAGAAAGTTGCAATGAACTTTAGTGTATAAAGCTGTTTCCCTCATGTCTTGCTGAATTACAGTCTGAAGCAGCAATTGGATTCCAAAGCATCAAATGTATAATGGACTGAGGAGCCAAAACCCCAAAGAGTTTTGAACCTTATATACTTATATACTAGCTTCTCAAAGTCTCTGTAAATAGAGCATGAATTTCTGTAATCATAAATGTTGTCTACATATATTTTTTATTAACGTCTTAATAGAAAAATCCTTGAAGTCACATTGGTAAATGGCATTACCTTTACTATAAATATCTTGCAAATAGTAGTGGTGTTGGAATCGGAGTTTTTTAGGAGCAGAAAATTGTGTAAAACATATTACTAACAAAAGACTTTATGGCAAAATTGGAAAGAATATACTCTACTGTCATACAAGAATAGATA